GTTTAATATTTTCTATATTTCGTTGTCTTATTTAACCGTCATTATGTGTATTGTTCTATTTTTCTTCGCGGAGTGACCTTTTTTTAAGAAGAACAAAGCAACTAATATGTAAACAAATTTGTGACAGGAGTTACAGCGACTGTTTTTCACAGTAATGCTGATCAAGTCATGACTAGTTCCAATACAATAGAATACATTTTTGTATAATGTTTGTTACTGTAACTTTTTAAGGCGAGGTGATAGAAAAAAGATTTCAGCAAAAAAAATGTTCATAAAAATTAGATAACAGACTAACAAAAATTTTTTTGGAGCAGAAACTTGAATATACATTTCCGAAGGATTTAGGTGCGCTAAATCCGAATATGGCAGCAGAATTGCTCTATCACGTCAGGTTTTTGAGATATCCTACCCTAAAAGTGCAAAAATCACTGTTTTTCGTCATATTTGAGGTTATGTAGTAAGGCCATCTATTGTTTTTCAAAAAACTAATACATTGAATCTAAAAGTACAAGGCTCCCTCTTTAGAATGCCGTAGGGACACCCTATACATAAGAAGGACACTTGATCAGGGGCAACATTTTTTTTCCGAAATTACTATTATTCCTTCGGATATGACGTGAGACGTATCGGCGTAACTTTTGTACTGATAGCTCAAAACTCTTGCGTTTTCTGTCTTTCTTCTAAGGGACTAGGCACAGTTTGTTGTAACATTAAGCCAAAACTGTTAGGTCCGGTCCTGGGGCGGTTACGTCTGCGTCGAACTATGTAGACGCCTGACCCGAAACGCACTATATATAAGGCAGGCGATTTAAATATAGCCACCGTTGGAGTGTCGTGGATCGCGTCTAAAAGAGCGCGTTGGGAAAATTGTTGGCGGATGAATCATTTTCTAATGTCATGTGAAAGTTTAACTATTCGTAATATTTCCTGTTGTCGCAATAATTGTTATTGTTTCTGGGAAACGGGGCGACGCCGTGCGTAAGTGTATCTCGGAATCGTTGTTTTTTTTTTGTACATATATATCCGAAGAGATAAAGAATCTGCATACTGGTTATATTACGTTCTTCCGGTCTTATTACGCGAATTTCGTTGGCCGAAACACTAACGCTAGCAGAAACTTCATTGTAGTTTATAAAAAGGTTGCTGGACTTGCTTGGTCACGTGGCGTGGGCCTGATTTAAAGTAATAAAACGGTGGAATCACTGAAAAAGTAAATTCTGTTGCGACTGGAGTCAATCAAAATGTCGTCGTCGTAAAATCGTTCGGTCCAGACGGTATCTGTTTCAAAAAGTCCATATTTGGGTGAATCGATATCCACTGAGATTTTTGACTTTTTGGCTTCCAAATATCACTAAAAAAAAACCTGGCTTAACTTTTGGCGGCACAATATGTTAAAAAAATTCGAAAAATGTCATATTTTTCTTCCTATTTAATTATGTATCTTTTCAAGAGTTGATTTTAGGCAAAATTGGAAGAGGAAAAAATGTTTGTAATTAAATTTTTTACAAAACATGACTAGTTACAAATCGAATGAATCACGATTATTATTGTAAAAATCGAAAAAATCGCCAAAATTGCGGTTTAAAAACATTACTTTTTAAGGAATTTTTTTGGGGTCTTTAAATTGGGTACAGAACCTTTATACTTGGCTCAAGAAAACTTCATGTTATGTAGAATCATCACACCAAATTTCATCAAAATCGGTTAGATAGATTTTGCATAATAATTTTGCAATCCAGATTTTGAAAAATAAAATGCGAATTTTCAAAATTTTGCACAGCAAAAACCAAGGCCCTTAGATACTTGAAAATTTAATCACATATAGAAGGGCTCTCAAGCTTTCAAATGCTTTTTGAAAAGTTCGAATCCGTCAATTAGGAGAGCTCTGGCGCTTATTTAAACATTAGTCGAATTTTTGTACTTGTAAACAATTAGAATAACTTTGTGAATATTCAACCTAATCAAATTTTTTAAAATAGGTTTTAAAACTTCTTGGAAAGACGCTTCTTTAAAAAAAA